TTGTGTGTGTGTGTGTGTGTGTGTGTGTGTGTGTGTGTGTGTGTGTGTGTGTGTGTGACTGACTGGTGTGTGAGATTATGGTGACTGTACTGAAAAGTTGACGATGAGGCTTCTTATAAAGTAACTAAATTGCGATAAACCATCACACTCTCGTATGACCTAATACAGTTACCAAAAACAAGAAGGGGGGTTTGGATAAATCTATTTGTTACAATCAGAATTGTTTAGTGAGCTGATGATTTGCCAAACATCCATGCACCTATGTAGTGGTGTTTTACTGGCACAGATGATAACAAGCCCCTGTATTTATTTGAACCCAATGGCCAGTTTTCATTATCATGCACACACATGCGCACGCGCGCGCGCACACACTTACATACACGCACACGCACGCACACACACACACACACACACACACACACACTCACACTCCCACTCCCACTTACACAGCTCTCAGAACAACTGCTTAGCTACACAGATGAAAAAGCATTGCAAAAGTAGAGACGGAAAATCTGATACTCCGCCACCCACCCCTGTCTCATAAATCTCTTTCTTTTGCGTTCGAGGAAAGAGCGTTCAGCATTTATTAAAAGTACAAAGTACAGGGAGAATACGTTCAATATTTTAATTCAAAGTAATCATAATACGCATGCTTAATCTGTGACCCTTTTTATTCATTTATTAATTTTATTAAATTGTTTTTCACATTTATTCTTTTATTTATTTATTTATTTATTTATTTATTATTTCTTTATTCATTTATTAATTTTATTAAATTGTTTTTCCATTTATTCTTTTATTTATTTATTTATTTATTTATTTAATTTTAGTTTGATTAGTTGTTTTTAAAAACTTGTTTGTTCATTTCTTTATTTGTTATTTATCTATTCTTTTTTTTTTTTTTGGGGGGGGGGGTGTCATTTTCTGTTTCATCAGGCATCTTTTGTGGTAGCCAGTATAGAAGAGTCTCAATTAATACTACGTAGCGCTCGAAAGAAAAGGCACAATCTCTGTTGATAACAATGTGAGACGTATTGACTCACCTACCTTGAGAGAAAGGTGAAGAAAAAAACTGAGGGTGGGTGGTGAACGTGAGAGAATAGAATCACACAGATGGCCGTATCGACTCTCTCAGTTTAGGTGACGAAAATATCAGCGTGGCGTGTATTCGCGCTCTCACCATTAATATTAATAAGCGTAGGCGCTGATATGTGTGGACTTGGGTGGAAAGACAGAGTACCTTGTCGACCGTGAAAACGGCTTGTGTTGAGGACCGTGCAAGGCGTCTGCCGGCTTTGTTTGAGCCATTGATTTACAGGCCCGTTTTGATTCTTTTAGCTTCTTTCTTGTCACACCGGTGCGTGAAACCTTCCCCATTATGTTCTTTCTTTCAGTTTTTCTGTTTTTAATTCTTTTTGTTTTTTGTTCTTTTTTTTGGTTCTTTCTTTGTCGTTAAGTTTGTGGAGACTCTTTGTGTGTCTTTCTTTTGTTGTCTTTCTTTCTTTGTTTCTTTCATTCTTTTTGTCTTTTTTTCTTCCTTCCTTTCTTCCTTCTTTCTTTCATTTGATGTCTCTTTTTGCTCTTTTATTTTGTGTACTCCCCAATTTAGTACAATAATATATCTCTGCTGCATTCTCTTCCGATTTTCTTTTCTTTTCTGCTGTTTATCATGTTGTACATCGTGTGTAAGCTGACAAAGTTGTTTTGGCCTTGAACTACGAACAGGGGCGCCCGGTTTTGTAACTGTCTCTGATCCTGTGTTTATTTTATTTCATTTTATTTTGTTTTGTTTTACTTTATTTTATTTTATTTTCTCTTGTTCTTGTTGCTGTTGTTTTTATAGTCCTATAGAGAGTTTTTTTTTAAAGTGCCCTGACTTGTCGTGTCAGAAACAGAAGTAATGCCTAGTACTTATTCTTGAATAATTTAAATTGTCTAATTTTGTGTTTCCGGTAAAACTGTTTGAGTTCCTTGTTTTTAATGTACTTGAAATTCAGAGCACACAGCTCTCTCACACACAAATCGACAGCTGTTTCTCTTACTCTTAATGGAATTCAATAATGAAAAGCCCCCTGATCAAGTAAAGTGGGAGGGGGGG